TACTGATGATTATGTCTGCAGGAAATGTGTTTGGTTGTGAATCCTATCAAATCGCGTGGATTGGTTGAAGTGGTAGTTTGTGGCAATAAGGAATTTACAGGAGTTAGGAGGTGTGATGGATGACTGTTGCACGAGGGGAGATAAACAAAAAATACACTCAGGTAGATCAGTTACCTCCAGGAAAGGTAGGAGGGGGAGGCAGGTCATGTAGGAGTCTCCTGAAGCTATTGCCTTCTCAAACAAGTACGCTGTTTTGGAAAATGTAGGGGATGATGGACTCTCAGGAGAATGTAACGCTGACAGCCAGGTTTCTGGTACCAAGACTGGCTCTAATGTAAAGAGGATATGTTAGGTTCTGAGCGATCAATTGTGATAGGGGACTCTCTAGTCAGAGGCACAGACAGACAATTCTGCTGCCAACAATGAGACATCAGAATAGTGCGTTGCCTCCCTGGTGCCAGGATCAAGGGTATGTTGGAGAGGATGCAGAATATTCTCAAAGGGGAGAAGGACCAGCAGGAGATCGCTGTACACATTGGAACTAACAACATAGCATGAGAAAAGGACGAAATTATGAGGAGAGAATCTAGGAAGTTAGGCAGGAATTTAACTATCTGGATTAGTCCTGGTGCCATGAGCTAGTGAGGGTAGGAACAGGAGGATACAGCAGATGAATGTGTGGCTGAGGAGCTGGTGCAAGGGAGAAGGATTCACATTTTTGGATCATTGGAATCTTTTCTGGGGAAGAAGTGATCTGTATAAGAAGAACGGATTGCACCTGAATTGGAAGGGGACTGTTTGTATGTGTGTCCCAGGGAGATAGTTAGGAAAGAGACCTTGGAGTGCAGGTTCATAGTTCCTTGAAATTAGAGACCCAGGTAGACAGGATAGTGAAGAAGGCATTTGGTATGCTTGCCTTTATTGGTCTGTGCATTGAGTGTAGGAGTTGAGAGGTCATGTTGTGACTGTACAAGACATTGGTTAGGCCACTTTTGGAATACTGTGTGCAATTCTGGTCCCCCTGCTATAGGAAGGATGTTGTGAAACTTGAAAGGGTTCAGAAAAGGTACACAAGGATGTTGTCAGGGTTGGAGGGTTTGAGCTATAGGGTGAGGCTGAATAGACTGGGGCTATTTCCTCTGGAACATCGGAGGCTGAGAGGTGACGTTATACAGATTTATAAAATCATGAGGGGCACGGATAGGGTAAATAGAGAAGGTCTTTTCCCCAGGATGGGGGAATCCAAAACTAGAAAGCAAAGGTTTAAGGTGAGAGGGGAAAGATATAAAAGGGACCTAAGGGGCAGTGTTTTCATGCAGGGGGTGATGCGTGTATGGAATGAGCTGCCAGAGGAAGTGGTGGAAACTGATACAATAACAACATGTAAAAAGGAATCTGGATGGGTATATGAATAGGAAGTGTTTAGAGGGATATGGGCCAAATGCGGGCAAACGGGACTAGATTTATTCAGGAGATCTGGTTGGCATGGATGAGTTGGAACATAGCGTCTGTTTCTGTGCTGTATATCTCTCTGATTGTGACTGTGACCAATTTGAACGGAGGTACACTAGGAATGGAAGCACAATGCTACTATTGCTGGTAATCTAGAGGACACGATTAATATTCTGGAGACAAGAGTTCAAATCTCACCATGGCAGATGGTGAATTTAAATTCAAGTAATGAAATAAAATTTTAAATAAACAACAATGATTGTGAAACTACAGGATTGTTGTTGTACCCACCTGCAAATCAAAAGTAAATCTATTTCTATGATCCATTCTGGCTTAAATGTGAATTCAACTACTGTGTGAAGGGATTCAGCAATTTATAAAATTCAATAACTTCAGATTTCTTTTCTTCTAGAGTAGCTGAGTTGATGACATTGACTATAACTATCTGCTCATTTGCTGCAGAAAAGGAATTCCCCTTAACATTCACTTTTCATTTTCATGCACTCCTTACCAGAAATGAAAGTTTCTTTCAGTTTTCATGTTTCCAGTAACCCAAGTCAGATTCTTATCACAATTAGTGGGAAGTATATCTCCCTTACACCCAGTGTGACATTCAGGCTTAACATTTAATGATGCACAAAATTGACTGAAGCAAATTACTTGGTTGGGATCATTGATAAATGAGATTCATGTAGAAACAGTTTTCATTCTAAACAATTCACAAAAAACTTTGAAAATGTGAAACATTATAATGCGAACAAAGAATCAAAAAGGATTTTGGGCCTACACATTTCCATTGAAAATCTGTTGGAAGTGCAATAGGCATTTATTTCCTCCTCCCACTGTTGGTTCTCTGTCTCACTGTTTCCATTCTCTACTGCCTGATCTCATTGTTGCCGTCACTGCTGGCCTTCATCCTTTCCTCTTTCATTTCCCCATCTCTTTTGTGCTGCCACTGGTCTTTCACACTCGTCTCCCACTTCAATTTCAGCAGTTCATTCTGGAGAATTATTCAAGTGGATTTAGTCAGCTCACAGTTTAACACAACGTAGTAGGGACTGGAGGTGAGGGTGCAGTTGGAGAAGAAAGAGAACAAAATTTTCATTTGCTGCTTCAGCAAAAAGCATTTTCATTTGCCAGGAAGTACATATCAGCTAATCTCAAGTTTTAGGCTATTTTTGCATTCATGACTAAACTTGTTCTCAAAATACAAATTTAATTAAAATTATAAGATCTACTTTTTGCCTTGTTCATCATTATTTATGGCTGTTCAGTGTGTATCAGCACAAAACTAAGTAACAGCGATTCCTTTCTCCAACCATCAACAACACAGAGGTGAGACATGAAGAACTTGAATTTATAGAGGACCTTAATAAAAACTTGACATCTAAGAGCTCCTCATGATGTTTAGTCAGAGATGTACAGTAGGGAACTGGAACAGGCCGTGAGTACACAACCAGTGTCTACAAACAGCTTTGAATGAACTATTGACTTTTTTAAAATTGATACTGCGGAAGAATAAATGTGGAATATTCCGTAATCCACTTCAAGCTGTGTTGAAGAATCTTAAATCAGTCCTGTCGGCTAGTCAGAGCCTTGTTTCAATGCCTCTTCTGAAAGAATACATTGATGGCGATGTGTTACTTGAGATTACAAATTCCAAATCATGGATTGGGAATTGACTCCTCAAGAAGAAGATGCGTTTGGAGGTTGTAGAAATGGAGAGGATGATCTGGTGGAACAAACATGCTCCTCTTTTCACTGACAGGATTTCTGCTTGTCTCTTCCATCCTGTTCACCTTCATTGCTTTTCATTTCCCTTCTGGTATCTGATCACGTAGTAATCAAAATTCACTTTCAAAGCCATGTTTCCTTCCCCAGGGACTGTCAGCTTGGTTTGTGGAATACCTTGACTCCATCTGCATCTTCCTCTTATGCTCACATTGCAGTCCTCATCTGCTGGGATGTTCCAGTGAAGCCCAATGCAAGCCAAAGGAATAGCACTTCATTTTTTGTTTGAGCAATTTACAGCCTTCTGGATTCAACATTGAGTTAAACAACTTCAGACCATGAACTCTGTTCTCTATTTTGTCTCTTCAGCATCACATCAACCTCCTTTCCATCTCCATGTCACTCACTACGAACCCCCATAACCACGTCTGATTAGCTTGCAGCAGAGGTTAGCCATTTTCTGCGATTAACATCTACTCTGAATCTGTTCTGTGTTATTTGCGACCTCTGATCTCATTTGCCCTCTAATTTTCTCCTGGCCGTCCCTTCTGTTCCACTTGCTCCTCTCTCCCTTTTATACAATATAAAACCATCACTTTTCCACCTCTTGGTTCAATTCTGAAGGAGAGTCTGATTTGACTAACAGCTGTTTTTCTCTCTCTCTAGGTGCTGCTAGGCCTCTTATCTTTCTCCAACACTTCCATTCCTTACGTCAGAGTGAGAAAGCATAATTTACATGTCAGAAATAAGACTAATTTTCTTTCCTCAAATACTTACACAAGTAGATTTTTGAATGACTTTTTCTATATATTTCGAAACAATTTAACCTGTCCTTCCTTTTAAGTTACAAATAGAGTCACGTTACTCTTCTCCTTTCCTGCATCACTGAACTATATTGTACAAAATATTTTAATTGTCCTGAGATTTTTACTTTCTTGATTAATTCCAGCTTCAGCTTCCTCCTTATTTTCACCTTGCAAGCGTTCTTGACTGAGGTGATCAGTGACTTCCATTGACTCCTCTGGATGGTTTTCGTCATCTGTGCAGATTTGCTGCATTTCAACATTAATGCAAAGTAAATAACACTGCAACAATATAAACCTCAGTATGGAGAAGAAGGAACAGCAACAGTGCTGTTGGTTAATATTCACAGATAGCACATGTTTAGTAGGCCAAAATACAACTTTACCCAATTGTAGCCAATCCGCTGACAGGGTGGAAGGTTTCAGTGCTGGAACTGGGTGGGGAATTAGATTGGCAGCATTAACCCCACTAGGTATGCTGGGAATTAAAGTTGGGAGAGACTTGAAATGAGCATTGGAAATGCAAAGGGAAAATGCCATTGGATTTCAGGTTACATTCCTCACAGACATTCTTGGAATGATGAAGATCTTGAAGATCTTAAATACCATGCACAACTAGATTTGAGAGACATATTCGACATAAATTTAAATTAATTTGAACATAACGATTCTCCACTAGACTGTCCTTCCTTTTAGGTTATAAAAGAGTCATGTTACTGTACTCCTTTCCTGTATCCCTCAAGTATATTATACAAAATATATTTAATTGTCCTGAGATTATTACCTTCTTGATTAATGCCAACTTCAGCTTTCTGGTTACTTTAATCTTGCAACTCATCTCGGTTGTGGTGATCAGTGCCTTGCATACTCTCATGCGTATGGCTTTCTTGGTCTTTACAGATTTCTTGAGATTCTACATTGATGTAAAGCAAATTACACTATAAAGAATATCAACCTCAGTATGGAGAAAAAGGACCAGCAATATTGCTGTTGGTTAATTTTCAAAGATAATACATACATAGCAGGCCAAAATCCAACTTTGGCAAACACATGCAACAACTTACTTTTTGACACCACTTTAAAGCAGTAAAATGAGCCAAGTTACTTTATGAGGAGAAAAGGTATTTATCATTTGAGACCAAGCAGCATATGACATTAGTTAGACAGACTACAATAAGTGATATGAAATTTGAACATACAGATGACTCAAAGATGATGAAGCAGGGTTCTTTATTCCACTGGTATCAAACCATTGCAGACATGAAAGAAAATTGAGTATATACAGGAACTATTTGCAGCATTTACAGTAAAGGAGGTCTGTGGGATAATTTTGGGCGGAGGAATTCCTTTGTCTTCTCCCACTTTAACCAAAGACACCTTTCTTTTTTCCCAGAGAGACTCTGTTTTACTGCTCCTGCTGATGTCCCTCACTGTCATGACCTGCTGGTGGAGGATGCCCCCAACAAACTCCTTCTGATCCCTTGCTCAGTGCTCTCCAACACCATCGTCACCTGCTGCTGGAGGGTCCATCACACACAGGTTTGCTAAATGAGGCAGTTAAGAAGCATCTTAAAAATCAGAGGTAGAGGCAGAGAGGTAGAGGCAGAGAGGAATATGCGGAAAATTTTAGACCTTAGGGCCAAGGCAGCTGAAGGTGTAACCATCAGTGGTATAGCAATTTGAAAGGTTTTTGTAAGATTCCAAGATTGGAGGAGGGTAAAGATCTTAAATGGACAGGAAGAGTGAATAACATAGGGAGGAGTGACACTCTGGAAGAATTTGGAAACAGTTTTAGACACAACTTTTAACATTACCAGTGCAGGAGCAAATTACTGCAGATGTTGGAATCTGAAATGAAAACAAATAAATG